GGCCAGGTGCAGCAACCCCATTACCCAAAGGACTTCCAACAGAACTAGGAATTGCAACACAACCAACACTTACATGCCTTATATAAAGAAATAGTTGGCATAACAGGTACCAAGTTGGCTTACAAAAGGTCCCAATTGATATATATATATATTATTATTATTATTATTAGAAGTATTATTATTATTAGAATATATATGTTTGTTTCTTCACTACTAGGCAAGAACACATTGCAGACCTAAAATATAGAAGGATAAATTCGGCCTTTTACGAACACTGTACAATAAATAATTGTAATATAAACAAAGATGAACTAAAAATCCTACACAAAGAAACCAATTGGTATAAACGAAAATTCAAAGAAAGTTATGAAATAATGAAAAGTTGAGACAATAACATCAACAAAAGCTTAAGTGTTAAAATCCATGATAATTGGCTAAAATTGTTGTAATACTGTTTACAATATTACCAAAGAAAACAACTACGACAACAATGGTAATGGTAATTAAAATATAACAATAATAATTAAAAACAGATTTATTTATAATATAATAGTTTAGAATGAAAGGTTAATATGTCAATGAGATGAAAACAGATTACATTAACACAGATGTCAAGAGGATACGCTGGAAAATGCTAGATGTCAAACCACGAAACCTTCACTTGTAATAGTAATTTAAATAATAAATATATTTTAAACAGCAATGATATTTTAACGATTTTAACTGTAAATACATAATTTTAAACATAAAAAATATATACGTAGCAATGAAATTTAAAGAAGATTCCAGATGTAATGGTATATCATAACTTATTATGATAAAACACTTATGTGAGGATCCGAATCCAGACTTTCAGTATATTTATATCATTATATCATAATATCACATTGTAGCTATATTTTCGTTAAATAACTGTCAACTTTTACACCTTGGAGCTAAACATCTGTTAAGTTCTCAGGCCTAATAACGATTCTTTCTCATCATCTTTCGACCTAATATCTCGATTTCAACAGTACAAAATTAGAACAAAACAACAAAGTGAGGTAGTCGTCGCCTGTCCTTCCAAAGAGTCAAATTGTCACCGTACCTTGTCCTAAGTGCCTCAATATTCAGATATCTGTGAATATATCATTTTATTCTACGTTTGTATATCCTACTAAAATATCATCGGAAACCATCGTCTAACACCTTTGCAGATACTGTATGTTCCATCAGGCTTACGGATATTTCCTCTACAGGATACCCAAACTGACATCCCAAACTTCCTCTCTTTCACAAAGAACGTTTGAGAATCTCAATCAAGATATCAAAAAAGGTATTTATTGCCACGTGAAACTTCTGTAAACTCTCTCTCTCTCTTGGGAATTGCAAAAACGTTAACATCCGATATATTTATTTAATATCTATCAATCGTAGAAATGTATCTATAAGCTAGCATATTTAAAATTGAAATGTTGTATGGTCTATCGTTACCCATTAAATAGTTGTTACATTAACCCATCTTTGAGTAAGTCACTTCCAGTGCGCTGTCTCTCCCTCCATCCCGAATCTGATCGCTCTGTTACGCGACCACTCGTGCGACCTAGTTAACGCAGCTTCCGTGTCCACCGAGACGCGGTGGTGTCATCCTGACAGGGCATCGAAGAGGTGCCGACCCTTCGGTCACACTTATAATGTAAGAAATTTATAATATGTTTTATTGTGTAGCCGACAGATGAGGGGCCTTGCCCGAAATGCGTATCGGCCAATAGAAGAGCAATAAAGATGATGTAAAATGCCTTGTGTCTATTTATGCACCTAGTAGTGAAGAAACAAACAAATAAAGGAAGACACAGTCTTGGAAATACATAATTAGAATATATTATTAGTATATCTGAAGTACAAAGCTCCCGTTGGAATTCGGCTTGCTCCCATGTTTATTATGTGCATCACCTCAGTGCAGGGTATTTACATTTATTCAAGTGTTGTGCAAATCATAGCTTCTAAAAAAACAGAAAGGTGATTTCAATTGAAACAAAGCAAGAAATCATCAGAAGGAGTGAAAGTTGACAAAAACTTCCTTGTCGAATGGGGAGAGGTTCAGGAATTTACCAATACTCATTATCCAAACAGAGCTGAGGCCAACAGGATCAATGATCTCTACAATGACACCCTTGCCCGTCATTTCCGACAGGTGTTGAAGAAGAGAGAGAAACAGACCACCTTGGATATGTTTTTTAAGAAGCTAGCAGGCAAAAAACAAAGGATGGAACAAGAGGAGTTGACCCTGCAAGCTCCGGTAGCCTCTCCTGAATCTGACTCTGATTAAAAAACAATAAAAAGAGACCTGCTGCAATGTGTAAAAAGTCTGTATCTGTATGAATGTGCGAAGAAAGTGTTCCTCCACCTCCTCCTCACAACATCTGACTACCCGGCATAATTGGTGACTGCTCCATTTTCATTTTTTTAATGGTACAGTATGGTTATTTTATGCTGCGGAACAAATTATATGTTTTAACATGTATTTCTATGGGAAAATGAGTTTCATATAACGGACTTTTCACTTAACAGACGTGCACCTGGAACAGATTAAGTATGTTATATGAGGCACCACTGTATATAGAACAGATATAGATGATAATATATATTTAATTTGTAGGCATTTTTATGCACGAAATACAGCTAAATGGGTGAAAAACAGACTTTGTTTTGGGGATCAGGAACAGATCAATCCATTTTATATTGTTTATGGGAAAATTTGTTTTAGTTTTAGAACAAATCAGTTTTCAAACAACTTTTAGGAGCAAATTAAGTTCAAAAACCAAGGCATGACTGTAATTTAAATCATTTAATTAAACCAATTATAATTCATTTAAATATAAATGGAATTTAATTTAAAAAATATATTACAATTAATACAAAGTATTAATTGTAATTGTATTTATATTACAATTAATACAAAGTATTAAAAGAACAGGCCAGAACAATAACTATACAGGTATAGGACAAAATAATAGGAACACTCCTTTCAAAATGTGTTGTACTTTGACCGTCCAATATAGCCCCACCACATGTTGCAACAGTCTGCTATCCAGTGGTGGTGAAAGGGGAGGTATCAGTCGAGCATTTGGCAGTGTGACAGTTGCATAAGAAAATTCTGTTCCCAGTAAAGTGCCATTATGACCATCTGTCCGACGTGCAAAGAGGCATGATTATTGGAGCTTGCCTCGCTGGAGCATCTGTGTCTAGAAAAGCCAACCTTATGGGTGTTTCAAGGTCCACTGTGTCAAGGGTTATGACAGCCTACACAAAACTGGGAAAGGTGTCCTCTGCAAAGCAGAACAGTGGGCGAAAGTTGAAGTTAACCGACCAAGATAGACAAGTGTTGAAGAGGATAGTCACCCAAATACGTAAGACTACACTGCAGCAGATAACCTCTGAGATGAACACCCATCTCCACCAAAACAATTCAATGGGAGCTGCATGCTGCAAGCATTCATGGCCGAGTAGCCATCCGAAAGCTGTTAGTGTCACCGCAGAATGCTATGAGGCAATGACAGTGGTGCCGAGACCACAGAAACTGGACACAACAGCAATGGGAACAGGCCATCTGGTCTGACAAATCATCATTTACATTATTTCAGACCACCGGACGTGTGTTCGTCTGGTGAACACCGGCAGAGGCATTTCATGTTGACTGTCTGGTTCCTACTGTGAAGCATACAGGGGGCTTTGTGATGCTGTGGGGAACAATATCATGGCATGACTTGGGCCACTTGTAGTCCTGAGGGAGATGGTCAGAAGCGAGCATTATTACAGTATTCTCGCAGATTATTTACACCCTATGCTTCATACTCTGTTTCCTGGAGAACATCCTCTATTCCAAAATGACAACACCTCTGTACACACGTGTGGCTCACTGTGTTCAAACATGGTTGGATGAGCATGATGATGAAGTAGAACATCTCATGTGGTGTCCTCAGTCCCCTGATCTAAACATTATTGAGCCTGTGTGGGGTTTTTTATAGAACAAAGCCTGTGCTTGGTTTCCTCCTTCATGCACACTACCTGAACTCGAGACCACTCTGCAGGAGGAATGGCTGCAAATTCCCTTAAACTTTCTGCACGACCTTTATTTCTCAATCCCAAGTTGGATACAAGCTGTAATTCAGGCCAATGGTGGCCCAACTCCCTACTAATAAATATTTTGCATTCTTTCACAGGTGTTCCTATTATTTTGTCCTATACCTGTATATATAAAAAAACTATTAAATATTTTGAAGAAGCACTAAATCTTCATTTTGAAGAAATACTTTGCCTTCTGTCCATCTCAAACCTTCAGGAAGAAAACAAGTCTCTAAAGGTGGAGTTGATTTTTTCATTGAGGCTTCTCATCGTCAGTATGCAAAAACTTTTAAAAAAATAAAATTATTTTTAAAAATATATTGCAATTAATACAAAGTATTAAAACTGTAGAGAGTTCCTAAAGGTTTGAGGACAGAAGACAAAGCTTTTCTTCAAAATCAAGATTTAGTGCTTCAAAATATTGTAATATTTTTTATCTACAAAATTTAATTAATTGCAGACTCTAATTGTGTTTGTAAATACATATTGCATTTCAAGATAATTCAATGAAAAATTTTCTTATAAATTTCAGCTTGGAAATTCTTTGAAAACAATACTTACCCATCTATGGACAGAATGTGATGATAAAAGTAAACAAAATACAATGATTACAACTTTGAAAAAACTGGTAATCCAAGTAATATTAGTCATTCTTTGCCCTTGATTATAATCTCTAATTGATATTACAATAAATGATTAAATGAGAGTAATACTAAAATACTGATGTAGAGAAAACATGATATTTCAAATACAAAATGCTTTGTAAATAGTTAAGCATTGAGATGTTAGTATATTAACTAATTACATAATAAACAAAGTAATTCACAAATAAAAAAGTATTTAATATAATAATGGCAATAAAATTCATAAAGTAAATGTTGACACATTATTTTTACCTAGGCTTCCGTCTTCTTGTCATATGATGTCTCATATATGTCAACGAACGAATTAAAAAAATAGGCTGCAAAAATCATTTTAAAAATTAAATTATTCTTTAATTCTATTGTATTTTATTTATAAAATTCAAATAAAAATAATATATAAAAAGACTGAAATTTTTTAAAATGTAAATATTAAAAAACTTAATTTTTGTTATTATTACACATAAAAATAACACAGTGAAAAAGTAAATTTAAAACAATAAAAATTACTAATTTTTACATTTAAATATCTTTTAGAGTAGCTAATTGTTCATTTTTTCAAAATTGTCTTATCATTAATCCTAAGAGGGACTAAAAATACTTTACTAACAATCTTCCATTAAAAATTTGCTGTTTTTTATAGCTGAACGGGATATTTTTACCTTTAGTGAAAATTATCCAAGAATAAACCACAAAATATCATTTTAAAAATCAAATTGTCTTCATTAATTTTTGAAGAATAACTAAAAACATCAATTTTTACATATTAAATTGAATATTCAATAATATATCAAATGAAGTGATTACCAAACACAGCATTTTATTCATATATTAGTGATGGGACGATACCAAAATTTCTCCCAATTTTAATTTCAATTCTACTGAAAACTTCAAATTTTGATATGATTCCCAATTTCAGTTCTTTTGAATAGTTTCCAAAGTTTATTTTTGTTTAGAAAAATTTATTTACATTATGATCATGGTACATTCATTAATTAATAAACATCAAGCTTAAGAATGAAAAATGATCGAAAAATCCAGAATCAATCTTTGGAGAAATCCGTAAACTCTCCATTTATGTGTGAATATGCATACTTTTATTGTGTACTGCAAAACAAATTTATAATCTTATTTCAGATAAAGTTAACACTATCTGCAAAGAGATTACATTTTGATTCAAAGAACTAGCCCATTACGTCACTTAGGGCCACCAACTTTGGAAACTGTTTTGTTGGCCGATATGATGACAGGGGGGAAGAGGAAAGGTAAATACAGAAATGCATTTCTTTTTTAATGCTTCTTGCAATCAGTATGCCTCATAAATGCTTTAATTCCACTGTATTTAACACTAAATGATGTTTGGTAAATGATGAATGTGCTGAACAAAAATCATCATCGTCATCATCATGAGTTAACCAATTTTTGAATGTCTAGACCAGGGATGTCCAACCTGCAACCCACTTAATATTTTTATGCAGTCCACTGCACCCTAAATCTTTTAGGTACATTTTCATTTATTTTGGTGAGGTATGTTGTAAAAATTATTCTTGTTTCACCGAATACAATTTGATGTCAAAATGACATAATTGGTGCTAGAAAATTGTTTTATCTAGAAAACTGTTATGCATGTGAGGTAGTACATACTGTTGTAAACAATTCTTTTCATGCATGAAAAACATCAAACTGCTGAAAGAAATATATCAAGTGATTCCCATTTAACTAACATTCTTAGAATTAATAGTAGTACCATAAAAGCAGGTATTGATAATATTATAAAAGGAAGGCAATGTCAAAACTTGCATTGAATTTATTTTTATTTTGTGTGAGTATAATTTTTTTACTGTCAATAATAGAGTATTTTTTGTAATTACATATATTTGTTATTAAAATTTGATATTCATATTTTGAACTTTTTAAAAGCATATATTTATATAAGGTACGTTTGTGGCCCGCTGAATATAAGTAAATTTCTAATTTGGCCCATATTCATAAAAGGTTGGATAACCCTGCTCTAGACTGACTCATCTTGAAAAATCAATTTTTAAAACTCAAAACTTCAATAAACTTAAAGCGAACAATAATTTTTACTTAGAACTATGCAAATCGCTGACACTTAAATATTTTTGTCAACTGCCAGCCTCAATTTGAAACTGCTGGTCAAGCTGATCCAACACTGACCGAGTGGCAACCCTAATGTCACCCTATTGCCCCTAAAATGGAAGAAAAATTAGTTCTGATCAAGCACAATCTCTCTCATCACTCCAACTATACAAAAGAAAAGTCTGTCCAGACAAGCATCATCTCATGTATGGGTGTTGCATACTCTCTGGTTTGTCAACATGAAAGTTTCCAACAAACTAATACTTAATAGTTAATATCATAATTTTAAAACTTTTTAATCTTTGACTGAAACAAATAATTAATTTTCTTGTTAAATGTGGAAAATCATTTAAGAATTGGAAATCATGATGAGATTTTCTTGATTCCAATTAATCATCCTATCACTAATATAAAAATATATATATATATATTTCAGCTTACAGCATTCCCTACAACCTTAACTAATTATAAAGCTTATAATATTTTAATTGAGTGTATTTTTTATTGTGGGGGTGGTCTACTTTTTCTCATTGGCAATCTGCTGTATAAAGAGCGAATGAATTTTTACGTTATATCAACTATCAAATCTCATAAATATATTATTAAAGGCCCAAATAATTACACTAAAACTAGTGTTAAGACACAGTAAAACACTAAGCAAGCTGTATTTGCATTGTAATGGAAACGTGTATAAACAGAAGCGAATGCTAAATAGAATCGTTTCGCAATGCCTACTTCTTGTTGATAAATAATTGAAACACATTTATTATATTTTTATACTTGAATAGCAAAAGGAAGAAAACAAACTATTCGTCATTTGTATCTAACATTATTGTTATCTTGTCAAGTATGTGACATCGCGCTAACTCCTGTAACATGTAAGATATATAGTAACACATTCTTCCCTTGTTAATATGTGTCAAGTGAAAATGCCGCTTTTGTGGCATGAAATTAAACCATTTAGTTAAGACACTTTATAATCGGTAGTATCCTGCATTATGTCAGAATTCATCCTTAAATTAATTCCCTTTTTTATACGTTAAATATGCTATTTATTTTATCCCTTTGATATCTAATTTATAGCTAAAAATATCATTTATCTATAAATGTACAGCATTTAAACTGAATTTATTAGGATTTTTCTAAATATACCCTTTGTTTATAAATTATAATAAATATCGAATTTATTTATGTAGAAAGTATTAAAAAACAATTTTTTTTAATAATGAAAGCATTATTTTATGTTTCTCATGAGTAATTTAATCTAATACAACTGAGATTTTGATTAAATATCATATTTATTAACCGACAGTTTGACTAATAGTCACATCCTGTGACTACTCTCACTGTGATATAATATCATAA